GGCGTGATCTCGGCTCACCGCAACCTCCGCCTCCTGGGTTCAGGCAATTCTCCTGTCTCAGCCTCCTGAGTAGCTGGGATTACAGGCACGCACCACTATGCCCGGCTAATTTTTTTTTTTTTTTTTTGTATTTTTAGTAGAGACGGGGTTTCACCTCGTTGACCAGGATGGTCTTGATCTCTTGACCTCGTGATCCACCCGCCTCGGCCTCCCAAAGTGCTGGGATTACAGGCATGAGCCACGGCGCCCGGTGGGTTTTTAAAGATTTACAGTAAACATGCTATACTTGCTATACTGTAAACCTTTAATAACTCCATAGGACCCATTTGAAGTGCCACCAATAATGTCGTAAGTGCTCCCAAGAAGCAGAGAAAAGTCATAATATTATAAGAAAAAGTTAAATTTTTTTGATATGTACCATAGATTGAGGTCTGCAGCTGCAGTTGCCTGCCATTTCAGACAAATGATTCATCTTGTAAACAGATGATGTCAACTTATGGTATTGATAAATACAGTGCAGTATTGTAAATGTATTTTCTCTTCTTTATAATCCTTTTTTTAATTTTTTAGAGACAGAATCTAATTTTGTCGCCCAGGCTGGAGTGCACTGGCACAGTCATAGATCACTGCGGTCTGAAACTCCTGGGCTCAGGCGATCCTCCCACTTCAGCCTCCCAAGTAGCTGGGACTATTGGCACATGCCACCATACTTGACTAATTTTTAAAGTTTTTTACAGAGATAAGGTCTCACTTTGTTGCCCAAACTGGTCTCCAACTCCTGACTTCAAGTGACCCTCCTGCCTCAGGTTTCCAAAGTTCTGGGGCTGTAAGTGTGAGCCACCATGCCTGGCCCTTACGATTTTCTTAACATTTTCGGTCTATGACATTGGGCGGCAGCATTGCAGCAGGGACGTGGGCCACGGAGGCGGGCATGTTGCTGCTGCAGCTGCCGCCGCCACTGTTGCTGCTGCCCGTGCCGCTTCCCGTGCCGCCGGGGTGCTGCTGCTGCCGCCTGAGCCGCCACCGGAGCCGCCGCCCTAGCCACCGGTGTGCTGCTGCCGCCGCTGTGCTCGGAGTTGCAATCTCGGAAGTGCTGGTTTGTCCAGTTCATCTGGTGGCCTGCAAATCCGGCATATAGTGGTTGTGGGGGTTAGGGGTGATGGTTGAAATACTGGTTATTGAGCTTCTGCAGCTGCATGCTGGCCAGCAGGGAGCCTCCCTGGCTGGCCACCAGGGAGGTCATGAACTGGGAGTTGTTAAACCTGGCTGCGGGGGCCAGTGCGCTCCGGGGGGTGCCCTCCATTCATAGTCCCCGGCCCCATGGTGTGCCTGATGCCGCTCGTGGCATTCACGTTGCCCGCGCCATAGTGTATGTGCTTGCCCATGAGGGCGTTGAAGGCGTGCTGGGGCTGCTGCTGCTGGTGTGATGGGGGCTTGGGAACTGCCCCATGACCATGCGGTGGGCAGGGTGGTGATGCAGCCCATTGGTGCCATCAGGGAAGCGCCCGTGGTTCATGGCCATCATATGGTGTGCCATTTCCAGTCCTTCCGTTTTTGCGATTTCTGCTTGGAAGACGGAGGGCGGGATCGTCGGGTCCAGGATCGGCTCAGCAGCATATAGAGGGGGGCCTTCCTGGCGTGCAGGGCGATTCGGTGTCACTATGTCGGCCCCGAGGTCTTGCAGCGGCTGCTGGGGCAGATTCGGAGCTGTTCCCTTTTATTTCCCCTCCGCTGCTCTCACAGCTCGGTAGGAGCACCCGGCAGCTGCCAACAATGAGCTGTCTTTACAGAGATTTTCAAATGAGTATTATCTCTTAGGGGCCTCTCGCAGGGCAATAGAGGCTTTATGTAGTTTAAGGACACCAGGCTTTATTTAGGTTTAAACTAATACTTTTGCTGTGCTACGAGGATTCCATGGGGTTGTCCCTGATAACCTGGACGATCAGAGTCTTTACTGAGTTACAGGCATGGGCAGCAGCAGTAGCAGCAGAGGTACTTAATGGTCCTAGTGAGTAGGGACCTTAGGACACCATGAAATGGCAACTTCCTCACCCTCTCTCTCCTCTTTCTTTCTCTTTTCCAAATGACCACTCTTTCAGGAATAACCATCTGATGGGCTCAAAAGCTACACAGAATAAAATATCACAACAAGCTCCCAGCCCCAGACCTGTAGATTAAGCCCATGCCCAGCACCAGTGACAGCTTCATTCTGAAATACTGAGATAGGCCCCAACCAAAACTCGAACCAGAGCCACTTTATGGAGCACCCCAATCTCATGCTACTGCTCACAAATGACAAGGAATTATGCAAACTGGTGACTTTTCTCAGCTGAATCTAGAACTGAGACCTGCTAGACTTCAACTATGCAACACAGCAACAAGCAGCAGCTCAGGGTGCATGCTGACCATCAAGCAGCAGAGCAGGTTAGCACCCCAGAGCACGAGAACATAGCCCCTGGCATGGGGATGGTGCCAATTGTTGTGGTCACCTGAAAAAGTGTGGTTCTGATGTTGACACTGATGGCTATGTGGCACATACACACCGAGAGCATATGAAAAAGCTTATTTAACATTTAGTTGAGGTTTCAAGGAGACCAGGACAGGCCTAGCATTAGACAACAAAGCCAGGTTAGATTTATTCTTGGAATGTGAGGATGGTTCCATATATGAAAATCAATGTCATAGACCATATTAATGAAATGATAGAAAAAATCATTTCAATTGAAACAAAAATTGACAAAATTCTACACCCATTTACAATGAAAGTTGGTTTTTTTTTTTTTTGAGACAGATCCTTACTCTGTTGTCCAGGCTGGAGAGTGCAGTAGTGTGATCTTGGCTCACTACAACCTCCACCCTCCACCTTCCGGGCTCAAGTGATTCTCTTGCCTCAACTTCTGAGTAGCTGGGATTACAGGCACGTGCCACCACACCAGACGAAAGCAGATTAAAGTTGTACACTACTCAGAATGGCTCACACTACTCAGAATGACTATTAATAAAAAGCAAATAAGAAACCCATAGACATTGGTGATAATCCAGAGAAAAGTAAAAGTGAATGCTTATACACTGTTGGTTGGAACATAAATTAGTACAGCCTCTACAGAAAACACTATGGAGATTTCTCAAAGAACTAAAAACAGAGCTACCATTTGACCAAGCAAACCCACTACTGGGCATCTACTCAAAGAAAAAGAACTTGCTATATCAAAAAGATACCTGTTCTTATATGTTTATCTCAGCACTATCTATAATGGCAGAGTCGTGGTATCAACCTAAGTGTTTATCCCCAGATAACTGGATAAACAAAATGTGGTACATATACACCATGAAATATTATACAGCCATAAAAAGGAATAAATCATTTCTTTTGCAGCAACACAGATGGAGCTGGAGACCATGACCCTGAGTAAAATAACTTGGAGAGAAAAAAAATCAAATACAGCATGTTCTTACTCATAAGTGGGAGCTAAACAATGGGTACACATGGACATGCAGAAGGAAACAACAGAACCTGGGAATTCCAAAGGGGGGAGCGTGAGCAGAGAAGTGTTGAGAAACTACCTATTGGGCAGTGTTTAGTATTTGGGTGATGGATACACTGGAAGCCCAAACCGCACCATTATGAAATAGATCCAAGTACAAAACCTGCAATGTACCCCTGAATCTATAAAAATAAATTTTAAAAAGTTTAAAAAAAAATTTTTCTTTTCCTAGCTTACTTTATTATAAGACTACAGAATACAATACACCTAACATAGAAAATGTGTGTTAATCCCTGTGTTATCAGTGAGGCTTCTGATCAACAATAGACTTATGTTTTTGGGAAGTCAAAAGTTACACATAGATTTTCAACTGTGCAGAAGCTTGGTACCCCTAATTCCTGCATTGTTCAAGGGTCGGCTATACTTTTTAATATATATTAACAGCCCTTATAGTATTTTTGTTTTTGTTTCAGACAAAGCCTCGCTCTTTTGCATAGGCTGGAGTACAGTGAGTGGTGCAATCTCGGCTCACTGCAACCTTGGCTCACTGCAACCTCCGAGTTGTTCAAACAATTCTCAATGTTTGAAAATGTTCAAACAATTCTCATGTCTCAGCCTCCAAAATAGCTGGGATTACAGGCACCTGTCACCATGCCTGGCTAATTTTTGTATTTTTAGTAGAGACGGGGGTTTCACCATGTTGGCCAGGCTGGTCTCAAACTCCTGACCTCAAGTGATCCACCCACCACAGCCTCACAAAGTGCTGGGATTACAGGCATGAGCCACCGCGCCTGGCCAGCCATAGTTTGAATCTGACTCTAACCAGTATGTGATTAATTGCTTCATAATTGGTCTTGGCCACTCACTAAGCATGTAAGTACTTGAATGTCCCTTGTTTCCCAGGTATACGTTGAGCAGTTTGAGTTCTATATAAGGACATCATCCCTGTTTGCTTTAGCAGTAACTCCTAAGCCTGTTGCAGTAGTGGAGCACCATGAACTGTGTGATGTTTATCAGCAATAACTGGGCCCCACTTAAACCGTATCAATGTGTTAATTCACACTTATAAGCTATGGTATCATGAATGCTCAAAGCTCTATAAAGACATTTTCATTTATCATGCATCTAATAATTTTTATAAATAATATTTGTAAATGATGGCAGAAAATCAAATCTTAAGGTTTGTAAGTCTTTACATATTGATAGATTAGAATTCCAATCTTAATCAGTATTGACTTTTTTTAATAAGATGACCTCGATAAGGTTAAATTTGCTTTATTCTAGTTATTTATTTTTTGAGACAGAGTCTCACTCTGTCTCAAATCATGAAAGCCCAAAGCTCTGTAAATGTATTTTCGTTTATTGTGCATCTAATAATTTTTTACTATCGATAAAAATAATTTTTGTGAATGATGGCAGAAAAACATACCTTAAGTCTTCACATATTGATACATTAGAATTCCAATCTTAATCAGCATTGACTTCTTTTTATAAGATAACCTTGATGAGGTTAAATTTGCTTTATTTTATTTTATTTATCTATTTTGAGACAGAGTCTCGCTCTGTCGCTCAGATTGGAGTGCAGTGGTGCCTTCTTGTCTCACTGCAACCTCTGCCTCCCAGATTCAAGTGATTCTGCTGCCTCAGCCTCCCAAGTAGCTGGGATTAGAGGTGCCCGCCACCTCGCCAGGCCAATTTTTTTGTATTTTTAGTAGAGATGGGGTTTCACCATGTTGGCCAGGCTGGTCTCAAACTCCCGACCTCAGGTAATCCACCCTCCTCAGCCCTTCAAAGTGCTGGGATTACGGGAGTTAGCCACCACACCCAGCCATGTTTTATTTTAGGATTTCAGGATTGGTCACCTTCATGTTAAATGTGGCTTTCAAGCAGTGTTAATGAAACTGCTCAGGAAGACAGATGAGGCAGGTGTGTTATCTGTACCCAAACAAACCTAGAGAATATTGGGCATTGGCCTTGTTTTAAGCAAATATGCAGTTCAGCTCAAACTTAATACACTCGGGTGTGTCCCCCAGCCCCAATCCCACCCAGGCCAATCTCCCAGGATTGTAGGGAAGGCTTTCACTCCTGGAGATGAGATAAAGAACCACTGGATGTGTCACTGACCCACAGGAACAGTGAGGCAGTGGGGAGGAAAGCTGCAAGGCACTGATGATTAGTAGCTTTATGGACAGCAGTTACTGGATAGATCATCAAGCCCCACAAGTGTTTGATGGGTTTTCCTGTCTGCACTGTTGGCAGGACTTTTGTGTATTGATATGTTCAGTTATATGTGATAGTTGTAAGCCTTCAGTAGAGTATAAAGAATTTATTTATCATAAATGGCACCACAGAGAATTTCACCAATAAATTTTGTGCAGTAACCAAGACACGGAAAGAGTATCTCTTTCATTGCTTCCAACAAAGCCTCTGTTGTTCCCAGACTGATTTTAGCATAGGATTTAATGTGGTAACAGAAGTGTCTATGCTTATCAGATACAGCTGTTTATCAGTGTGTAGCAGGTTAGGCATCTATTTGGTTTCTGGCAAAAAAAAAAGGAACATCTTCAACAAGGAATATCATCAGCTCTTTACATTTATAACAAGGATTTACTGTTTGTAATACTTACGTTTAAGGGAAACTGATAGAGTAATAATGTATCCAAATCTACCTGTGTGTCTTCAGAACAGGACAAATTGCTTACCAGTGTTCTTTCTACATTTACTTTTCAGTTTATATAAAAGTAATATGGCCAGGCGAAGTGGCTCAAGCCTGTAATTCCAGCACTTTGGGAGGCTAAGGTGGGTAAATCACCCGAGGTCAGGAGTTCGAAACCAGCCTGACCAATAAGGTGAAACCTCATCTCTACTAACTATACAAAAAAGTTAGCCAGGCGTGGTGGCAGGCGCCTGCATCTCAGCTACTCAGCTACTCTGAAGGCTGAGACAGGAGAACTGCTTGAACCTGGGAGGCCGAGGTTGCAGTGAGCCGAGATCATGCCACTGCACTCTAGCCTGGGCAACACAGCAAGCTTCCATCTCAAAAAATAATAATAATATGCAAAGGAGAATAATAGTAAAGAATTTGAAAGCCATGAACTTACAAACATTGTTCTGTAAGAATCACTGTTTTGTTATTGAGTATCTTTAGATTGTTCTGTAATCTAAAGTTTTCCAGGACTTTTGTGTGCTAGCTTTTCCTAATTAGAAAAAGCTACATTTCATGACTACTTCATTGCCATACAATTCACATAGGCTAATGTTCACCTTTTTAAAATGAATGATTCCACATTTAAAGTTTTCCGTATATTCACCAAGTTGTGCTCTGATCACCACTGTGCAATTTCACATTTTATCATTGTCTTAGTCTTAGCTTATGCAAGAGGAGGAACTGAGCAGCTGCAGATGTGACTGAATCCAACGTGCCCTAGTGTCTTTTCTGTTGTTATAACGGAATATCTGAGACTGGGTAATTTATTTGAAAAGTAAATTTATGGGAAGGGCTTGGGGCAGCGAATATGGCTGCGGTGGCGGCGGCCGCCGGCCTGGGTAGTGGCGGTGGCGCCGGCCCGGGACCCGAGGCCGGAGACTTCCTGGCCGGCTACCGGCTTGTATCAAACAAGCTGAAGAAGCTGTTTCTGCGGAAGCTGAACGTGGCGGAGGCCGGCGAGCAGTTCGGACAGCTGGGCCGTGAGCTGCGCGCTCAGGAGTATCTGCCGTAAGCGGCCTGGTGCCAGCTGGCGGTGGCGCGCTGCCAGCAGGCGCTCTTCCACGGGCTCGGGGAGGCGCTGGCCCTCACTGAGGCCGCCCGCCTCTTCCTGCGACAGGAGCGCGAAGCGCGCCAGCGCCTGGTCTGCCTCGCCGCCTACGGGGAGCCGCTGCAGGCCGCCGCCAGCGCCCTGGGCGCCGCGGTGCGCCTGCACCTCGAGCTGGGCCAGCCGACCCCCGCGGCGGGTCACTGCCAGCGCGCCGCCCAGCTCCAGCGCCGCGATGCATGCGCTCGGTGAGGCAGCCTCCTGCCAGCTGCTGGCGCGCGATTACACCGGCGCCCTGGCGCTCTTGACGCGCATGCAGCGCCTGGCGCGGGAGCACGGCAGCCACCCCGTGCAGCCGCAGCCGCTGCCGCCGCCCCCGCCGGCGGGGCCGCAGTTCGGGCCCGGGGCGACGCCCGCCCTACCGGCCGCACTGCTTGCTCCAAACGCCGGCTCCGCGGCGCCTTCTCCCGCCGCCCTGGGCACCTTCTCGGACCTACTGGTCCGCTGCGAGGTGTCCCGCGTTCTGCTGACGCTCCTCCTGCAACCACCGTCCGCCAAGCTGCTGCCGGAGCACGCCCAGACCCTGGAGAAGTACTCGTGGGAGGCTTTTGACAGCCACGGGCAGGAGAGCAGCGGCCAGCTTCCCGAGGAGCTCTTTCTGCTGCTCCAGTCTTTGGTCATGTCTACCCACGAAAAGGACACGGAAGCCATCAAGTCGCTGCAAGTGGAGATGTGACCACTGTTGACTGTTGAGCAGAACCACCTCCTTCACCTCGTTCTTCAAGAAACCATCTCCCCCGCAGGACAGGGGATCTGACCCATCCCACTCACCCGATGGCTTTTTGCCCGGACGGGGAGGGTATTCCCATCAATCCCGTTAACCATATGACTTTTTGCCTGTTACCAAACCTCACGCATCCACGTTTGCGTCTGGGGAGACATAAAAAGACACACCGTCCCAGCCTCTGCGTTTTATGTTATTCCTGTTGCCGCCATAGGAATTACCTCGTTGACTGAACGCTGCCTGCATCACAAACTCCTGTTTCCGTAGCAGAGCGAGAGCAACACATTTTCATGGAACCGGAGTAGAGGACATGGCTCACTTCCAAAAAGCCATGACACGAAAATGACAGCCCCTTTCGTCTCCTTCCTCCGCTTCTTCCACCGAACGCAGCCTCCTGCCTCCACCTTTGTTTCATAGTGAGGATTTCATTTTGCGGCGGCTCCCTCCCTCTAAACACCCGCCGTAGATGATTTCATCCTGCCCCTCATTTCTTAACGTATTTCTGTGTCTTTGTAATGGCCAGATTTCTCCTGCCACTCGTCGGCACAGTACGTCTTCATGGGAGTCATTTTATTCCTTCCAGCTTCCTTGTAACCACAGCCCTGAATCCATGACAAAGCCACTCCTGTTAAAAAAAAAAAAAAAGAAAGAAAGAAAAAGAAAAGTAAGTTTGTTACAGTTTGGGATTCTGAGAAATCTCCGGTCAAGGAGCCACAACTGGTCAACTTCTGGTGAGGGCCACATGCTGTGTCTTACCGTGGCAGAAGATATTGCATGCCAAGAGAGAGCCAAACTGGCTTCTATAACAGACCCAGTCTCTTGGTAACCAACCCATTCCCATGAAACCCCATTCATCCATTAAGCCCTCCATGGATTAACTCATTCATGAGAGCAAAGCCCTCAAGACCCAGATACCTCTTAAAGGCCCCACCTCTTAATATTGTTACACTGAGGATTAAGTTTCAACCTGAGTTTTGGAAGGGACAAGCATTCAAACCACAGCCATCATCCCAAAAAGAAATGCCCTAGCCATTAGCAGTCACTCACCATTGCCCTCTACCCTTAGATAACCACTAATCCTTCTTTCCCTATGAATTTTTTTCAGCTTTGACTTAGCATAATGTTTTTAGGGTTCATCCATGTTACAACTTGTATCAGAACATCATTGCTTTATAGGGCCAAGTAATATTTCATTGTACAGATATCCACATTTTGTTTATCCATTCACAGTGGATGGACCTTTGGGTTGTTCCCACTGTTTGGCCATTGTGAATAATGCTGCTGTTAACACGTGCCTGGAAGCTTTTGACAGTGTGTTCTCCATTCTCTTGTATATATACCTACGAGTGGTGTTGCTGGGTCATTAAGCATGTAACTCTATGCTTAATTTTTTTAGGAACTCCCAAGCTATTTTTCAATGTAACTTTACCATTTTACATTCCTACCGGCCAGCATAAGAGAGCTCCAGTTTTTCTACCTTCTTACCAGCACTTTTTACTGTCCATCTTTTTTATTATAGCTTTCCAAGTGCATATGAAGTGATACCTCATTGTCAATTCAATTGGTATTTCCTTAATGATTAATCATTTTAAGTAGTGCTCATAGGCCATTTGTAGATCTTCTTTGGAAAAATGTCCATTCAGATCCATTGTTCCACTTTTTAACTGGATTGTCTCTTTGTCATTGAATTGTACACGTTTCTTACGTATTCTGGATATAAGGCCCTTACAAAAGATATGATTTCTATAGATTTATGCATTATTTTAACAGTTGTATAGTTTTCACTCTTATTTAGGTCCCTGATTTGTTTTGAGTAGATTTTTGCATATGGTATAATGTAGGGGTCCAAATTCATTTGATTGGAGATAGCTAGTTCTCCTATCACCAGTTGTTGAAAAGATTATTCTTTCCAGGCCGGGCGTGGTGGCTCAACCCTGTAATCCCAGCACTTTGGGAGGCCGAGGCGGGTGGATCACGATGTCAAGAGATCAAGACTATCCTGGTCAACATGGTGAAATCCCATCTCTACTAAAAATACAAAAAATTAGTTGGGCATGGTGGTGCATGCCTGTAATCCTAGCTACTCAGGAGGCTGAGGCAGAAGAATTGCCTGAACCCAGGAGGCGGAGGTTGCAGTGAGCCGAGATCACACCATTGCACTCCAGCCTGGGTAACCAGAGTGAAACTCCCATCTCAAAAAAAAAAAAAAGATTATTCTTTCCCTATCAAGTTGTCTTGGCATACTTGTCAAAAATCAACTGACCATGCATGTAATGGTTTATTTCTGGACTCCTAGTTTTTCTCTGTTGATGTAGAGCTGTCTGCGCTTGTACTGGTATCACTCTGACTATCTTGAATACTGTATCTTCATAGTTAGCTATGAAATTGGGAAATGTTCTTTTTCAAGATTGTTTTGGCTATTCTTGGCCTCTTGAGTTTTCATATGAATTTTAAGATCAGCTTATCCATTTCTAAACTAGCTGAGATTCTTATATGTATTGCGTCAAATCAATCTGGAGACCATTGCCATCTATAAAATACTATTTCTTCTGATCTATGAACATGGGATATCTTTCCATTTATTTGGATCTTCTTTAATTTCTTGAAATATTTTGTAGTTTTTTGCATACAAGTTTTGCACTTATTTTATTTTATTTTTTTTTTTTTTTGACACAGAGTCTCACTCTGTTGCCCAAGCTGGAGTGCAATGGCACAAACATGGCTCACTGTAACCTCAGCCTCCAGGACTCAAGTGATCCTTCTGCCTCAGCCTCCTGAGTAGCTGGCACCACAGGCGTGTGCCATGCCTGGCTAACTTTTATTTTATTTATTTTTTTAAATTGAGACAGAGTCCCATTCTGTCACCCAGGCTGGGGTGCAGTTGCACAATCTTGGCTCACTGCAACCTCTGCCTCCTGGGTTCAAACAATTCTCCTGCCTCAGCCTCCCAAGTAGCTGGGATTAGCCCACCACCATGCCTGCCAATTTTTTTTTTTTTTATTAGAGACAGAGTTTCATCGTGTTGGCCAGGCTGGTTTTGAACTCCTGACCTTAAGTGATCTGTCCACCTCAGCCTCCCAAAGTGCTAAGACTACAGACATGAGGCATTGCACCTAGCCAAACTATTTTTATTGTTACTTTTTGTAGAAGCAGGGTCTTATTACATTGCCCAGGCTGGTCTCAAACTCCTGGGCTGAAGCTATCCTCTCACTTCAGCCTCCCAAAGTACTGGGATTATAGGCAGAAGCCACTGTGCCTGGCCTATTCCTGAGTATTTTGTTCTTTTTTACACTATTATATATGAACTTGTTCTCTTAAGTTTGTTTTTGGATTGTTCTTTTTTAGTGTATGGAAATACAGTTGATCTTTGTATGTTGATTTTATGTCCTGCAACTTCTAAATTCATGTATTGGCTTTAGTGGTGTGTGTGTGTGTGTGTGTGTGTGTGTGTGTGTGTGTGCTTCCTTAACATTTTCTACCAGTAAGATCATGTCTTCTGTAAATAGAGGAGTTTTATTCATTTTAGATGGTTTATCTAAGGAAGGAAAGAATGCTCCTCAAATTGAGATAGACTCTAAGAAAGAAGAAAGCAGATACTTTGTAGCTATTACTTTAAATTCAGACCTAGTACTTTTAATTTGTCCAGCTCCATAAGGAGAGCCTTATATAAAATGTGTTTAATCATTTATTAGTTATATTTTTATTTTTCTTGGCAGAAGGAAAAATTAAGGCATAAAGATTTTATATTTTTAAATCATGACTCAGCCATGAGTCAGGAACTGCTTATGTTCAAACACTGCCTCCTTCCTTTGTTAGCTAACCTTAACTACTTTGTACTTAATTTTCTTACCTTTAAAATGAGAATGATATGAGAATCTACTTTTAAGGTTGTTATGAAGATTAAATGAGTTCATATATGATTCTTAGTATCTGGCTGTATTAATGGGAGCTCTTGTTGTTGGTATTAGTTGAGCAACAACCAGACCAACTATCGTTTTGTTGCCTTTCTTAGTGACTATGCCAACTTAGAGAAAACTTGGTAGAGCTTATTGTGATGGTAGCTATGATTCATTACTTAATGGCACTCCTATCGCCTTCTAGTCTCAGTAGGGATCACCAGGGTCAAGAAATAGCAGTAGTTGGAGTTGTCAGATTGGAGTCTCAATGTAATGGAATGCATATTGCTTGTTGGCAATCATTAAACACCAGAAATATCTGTTTTATTTTGGTTTGGGTTGGGTTTTTTGTTTTTTAGTTTTTTTTTTTAAGACTGAGTCTCACTCTGTCACTAGGCTCAAGTGCAGTGGTGCGATCTCTGCTTACTGCAACCTCCAACTTCTGATTCAAGCAATTCTCCTGCCTCTGCCTCCCAAGTAGCTGGGGTTACAGGCACATGCCACCATGTCCATCTTACTTTTGTATTTTTTGTAGAGACAAGGTTTCACCATGTTGGCCAGGATGGTCTCCATCTCCTGACCTTAGGTGATCCTCCCGCCTCAACCTCCCAAAGTACTGGGATTATAGGCGTGAGCCACTGCACCCAACCCTGTTTTCTGTTTTAACTACTAAAAGTACAAATGGACTTGAGAAACTTTGGGGTTTGTTAGTAAAGGCCATTCTTTTCATTCAGAAGAGCCCCAGCACATGCTGACTGGGCTATGAATTAATAAGGGGGATCCTGAGAGTCAGAATTATAAGAGAAATTGCTGTTATAAATGTGCTTATCATCATTCTCTGAGCATCCGTAGTTCACTGGCGTAGGATAAGAAATGGAGTCAGGATGGGAGCAGCCTCCAGTTTCCCTTGCCAGCCACTTTTTGTTTCAGGCATACATTTTCTATTAAGAGAGAGAAAGCAAATTTTGAGAATTCTTCAGCAGTTGGGAATACTGAAAACTAACTTTTCAACTGAGAAAAATTCCCATAATCATGCCCTTTATTTGCAAGCATAAAGGTGTATAAAGGATAGATAAAGCATGGATTTTGCCATTCTTAGATGTTATTTCTTGGCTGAATAAAATTTGTGTGATTATCTGCACCCTTAGGAGCCCTTGTCCCTTTCAAAGCCTGAACACAATGACCCAGAGGAGAAGGAGCTGCCTGTGCATCAGCCTATGTCCTCCTCTGACACTGAGACATCCAGCCGTGACAATGAGGTGGGTGTGGAGGAGCCAGATTCCAGGTAGGGCTGGGCGTCCAAGAGTCTCAGATGCAGGTGAATCTACAATGAACTCAAACAAAACTTTGAGTTGGAAATTTGCTCAAGTCATTTTTATTTAGTCAGTGAACAGCTATATTTTCCCCCTTGAAAGTATCTCAGCTTAAGAAACAGTACACATCTGCTCTTCATTTCCATAATTACATCAGTCGAAGAATAACAAAGTGAAATCATACAACATGTAATCTTTGGAATTAATTTTTTTCACTTGGCGTAATTCTCAGGAGCTTAGTCCAGGTTGGGCGTGTCAGTCATTTGTTTTGTTCTTTTTTATTATTGTTATTAACAGCAGAATAATTCTCTTTATTAAATTGTCAGTGTATTCCTTTCAAGTGGGGAGCAGAAACTGAATTTTAAAATAATAAGGCCAGGCGCGGTGGCTCATGCCTATAATCCCAGCACTTCGGGAGGCCAAGGCGGGTGGATCACGAGGTCAAGAGATCGAGA